CTTACTAACTTTTTCTACCTTCAGGGTGGGCGCTTATTCGAGGTGGATACTTATTCGAGGTCGGGCGTTCAATCGAATAAATACGGTATGCTCGCATGTCTAATTTGTCTTTTAACTTTTTTATTCTTTTACGAAGTAAAAGGCGTTTTTAAATCTCGGAGACAATTGATCGTCCTTTTGATTATAAATTCTGCTCTTTTCCGGATCGACGATTTCGTTTCATTTTACTAAATACCAAATTCTCGTTGCTAATTTACAAGGGAATGTGTATTAGCTAGAGGGGAGAAATAATCAGATCATGGGAGTCTAAAGTTTAATGTTGCCTGATGACAACTCCTTTCCTCTTTTTTAACAGAATTTTCTAGAGGGCTATTCTATTGCTTTAAATTATTAACTACCAACCAACAGCCAACCTAATTTCCTCAAGAAGGAACTCAAGTTTTTAACTGCAAATGAAATTTAAACTGAGTTTCAAAAGTTATCCTTTTGCTTTCCCGTGCTCTGTGACTGGTCGAGAACTCACGCCGTTCTCTCGACCAATCAGATGTAAAGTCAACTGCTTCACTGCAATTGAGCTTGTTTCAAGTATTTTCATTAGTTTCCTGTAAAGCCGATCCTAATTCTGATTGGCTGTGGTGATTTTATGCTATTATAACACTCTCAATCGAAAAGCGCACGAACGCATAGCTTTTAGTCCTGCGTTTCCGGACTCACACGTAGGTTTCTCGTATTTCCTTCTCTTTTTTCTCTATGCCCTCGAAGTACCTTTGAATCTCCTCAAGGGATTTTCCCTCCGTTTCTGGAACGCAAACGTATACAAATATTACGGCCAGGATCGCCTGACTTCCATATAACCAGAAAGTTCCCGCTGCTGTGAGTGTATCGATAAAGAACGGAAATGTCTTTGTAATTGTAAAAGCGCAAGTCCAGTTTAATAGGGTTGCAAAGCCGCTGGCTGTTCCCCTAGCCTTCACTGGAAATATCTCACTCATTATGAGCCAGGCACAGGGACCCCACGTCATACCAAATGCGACAATGTATACGGCAACACTGGTGACAGCCACCCACGAAAGATCAAAGTCGTAGTAAGTAACAGGAGAGTTTACTGAGATGTAGAAATAAGACCCCAGGCTGAAAAGACTGATGCCCATTCCGACCCCACCCACTATAAGCAGGAAACGCCTACCCACTCGACCAATCATAACAACAGAGACAGCGGCTGCAACGACCTGTATGATGCCTACTAAAATCGGTACCATAGTGCTTTTGTCTTGGAATCCGGCCTTATGGAAGATGGTGGCACAGTAGAACATGACTGCGTTGATACCAGTGCTCTGTTGGAAGAAGTGAAGGGTCAAGCTGATTGCGAACGGACGTAGAAGACTGGGTTTGACAAATTCCTGGATTGACATCCTTTCCATCTTTTCTGGTGGCATAAAAAATGAATGAATGAATGAATGAATGAAAGAATGCATGAGATCTGAAAAGAAGATAAAATCACAAAGCATCCAAAAAGAATTTGTAGAGAGCTTTACTTTGGAGAAAGGTGTTTTTCGCCCTGTCTCGATGGTGGGACAAAGAGAAAATTCTGAGTCCACACGAGGAATCGAGCCTCAGACTTTATTTTAATTTGCCAGGAAAAGTGTTCCTACCTAAGCTATCTTTTATTTCCATAATTTCCTTCCCCACGTCGGCTTTCGGTCCTCGAAGCCATCTTGCTGTCATGTAGGCGTGTCCCTCTTTTCCACGAGCCAACAGCCAGTAGACAGTTTCCGGCATAAAAAACATCAATATCAATAAACAGGCTGGGAACCCTATTCCTATTATGGCGCACCAATTCCAGTTGAGGGCGTGGCCCGTTATGAAAGACAGCAAGATGCCCGATACAATTCCCATTTGGTTAAACGTGCCTAGTGTGCCTCGCAGACGAGGTGGGGCGATTTCTGAGATGTAAACCTAAAAATTGAAAAGAAAATTTATTCTGATATAAGGAAGAAACGAAGTTGTCCAACTTCATCCGGTGGTCAAAGTATTACAAGCAAGGGTAGTATGACCGTCACGATTTTCCCAAAAGGGTAGTTCAGCGATTTCAGGCTAAATATCAGATATTTTTTGCAACCTCTGGCTTCAAAGTAGGAACGTTTAAGGCTGCGTTCACACTTGGTGTTCGAGCACGGTGCCCGAGTACGATTCTTGATGGGCAATAATGTGAACATACCTTTTTTTCAAGAACCCACGCCAGAATTCGGGCACCGTGCAACTTGACTTTGTGTTCGGGCACTAAACCGGCCCTGTTTTATAGGGTACCCAGACTCTGAACACAGCACCAGTGCCGGTGCCCATGGCACCAATGTTCGGGTACCAAGTGCGAACGTAGCCTAATATCTGCGGCCCTAACTCCCCCCATGACACTAGGCAGTGGAAAAACTGTGATAGCCTAATGATTATCGCACCGGGCTCCGTTCGGGAGGACCAAGTCCACGGCTAGTAAAGATGAGCAAAAGAGCGCGTAAGCCTACAAAATGATATCTTTTCGCGTGATCCTTGTCGTTTTTTGCGCATGATCTTTTTCACACGCCGCTGCTAACCGTGAGCGAGGCTCAGGATGATACCTACCGGGGTGGCCAACGAGATCGCACCACAGGCTAAACCTGAAATTATTCGGCCGATGTAGAGCATGGCAACATTTTGAGCAAAGCTGATGAGGAGCCAACCCAGAACAAAAGGTACTACACAGGACATTATAGTAACCTTTCGACCAAGCTTGTCAATCGCCCATCCAGCGACTAAACTGCCAAAAATAGCGCCAACGGTGATCAGAGACTAAAAACAAGAAAAAAAAAAGATTAGAATTGTGGTTGAAGTAATTGTTGGCAACACTTTGCTGAATTATAATCGTGTTATTGATTTTCTATGCTTGGTTCAACTTAACAGTTTATATAACCTTAACTTCGAAGCTACAGGTGCTCCACATAAGTTTCATTCCGCTTAGTCTGTTCAAAGGTGGCACTGGTGGAATTTGAGATCTGGAGTCAAAATCCTCTTTTAACTAAAATGTCGGCACTCACTGTATTATAATTTTTTGACTGATTCAGAAAAGCTCATGAATGACATAGCTGAATAACGAAAAGCTACGTCAGAAAGTATGCGGTCGACAACGCGGGCTCAAGTGTTCTAAGTCTAAAATTTAGCGAAATTAGCGGAAAATAATAAGGGTTGACTTTTAAAACCGAGGAACTCTGTTTTTGTCGAAGGCACTTTCCTATTTCCAGAGGTTTCAAGGAGAAAATTAATATTTTAAAATTTTTAGGGGGTGTACCAAGTTTTTGAAGGCTGTTCTGTAAAAGAAAAGAATCAAGGAAAACGACACCTCGAAGCAACAGAATAGAAAATCAACCATGCGAACGACTCAAAGTCCGTGTTTCCGCGGCAAAACCTAATGCATGCGTATACGTTATTCAGCTCTGTCCTCATGAATAGGATAACAAGCTCATGTGTTGAACTTAGAGTAGTCAGCTCTCTATTTCACTTGACCTTACCCTTGCTTTCCTTTGATTTTTCAGTCCGCCGTTGCGTTTTACTAATCGTATGAAACAGGCTAAGAATGTATAAATTAGAGTTCTTCGAATTTTACGAAAGACCATACATTCTGCTGACTACTAACAAATCTTTGAATGAAAAAATCATCCAAGGAGTGGCAACCACTGAAACTGTGATTCCGTTTACATAATTCAATTTTCAGAATATTGGCTCAATAGGAGATACAAGTGTTTCAGAGAGAGGATGGGAATGCTGTGAGCGTCCACAGGCTTGCAATGGTACGTTCGATACAAGTAGGATGCTTTTAAAGATAACAAGTTTATACCCCACACATGTGGTTATAGCTTTTCGCGCGCGCTGATTGGTTAGCTCGGAGGCCAAGAACTATTTTCACCTCCTGGCAGCCAAAGAGAAAAACAAAACGGCTTCCTGTTTCACTTGGCTTTCCGGAGAGGAAAGATTTCATCAACAAACGAGATGTCTTTATCAAACAACACAAAATGACAACAAACTTTCGTTTTAGGGTTCGTTATGATGAAATTGTTTACCTTGCAAACTAAATTTTTTAGAGGAAACATTCAGATTTCACTTAATTTTACAGTGTGAGCAAGTTCTAAAACCTTACGTTTCATAGCATGGTCCTATACTGAAACAGCCAAATAAGTTCATCCAGAGGTCAAAGTTGTCCCTAAGAAAGCGCCACGTCGTAGAACTTTGTCCAGTCTTTTTTCTGCGCGCGAGATTTTCATATTTCAGATTGAGTATTTTCCAAAAGTAAATTAGTTTTTCCCCTATTTACCTTCTCTACGGCTAATAATTGTTAAATTTTGAGTTCGTGCTAAGATTTCTTTTGTTCAGTTCAGAATTTACACCTCAACATGAGATCAAGTTTAGCCGCTACGTAATGGACAATCAAGTCTGTAAATAAAATCACTTCTGGAATGATCGTTTGAAGCAACTGTGCTCCAACATTGAATTTACTACAAAAGGCACTAAAGTTGATGCAAACGTGGTTTACTGGGCCTTCATCCTAGCATAGACGTCTGTAATTCAAGAAACTGCTACAACGAAAAGTAACCGAGAGCTCATTCAAAGATTCCCAATCATCTAGCCAGTACAATTTTGACGAGTAGTCATGATGGCACATGGTGCCGGCTCGAACTTTGAAAAGCCGGGGGAATTACGTTTTACAAGTTCCTTTTTTTCAGCTGATTTATAAAACAACACGAACCAACTTACCGAGAACCAGGATCCCTGATCTGCGGATAAACGCACAACTGAAGAATTATCCGCGTTTTGTAAATCTTCCAAAGCAGACGATGAATATCCGATACAGTATCCGAAGCTGACTGGACCAAGCGCTGCGATTAACGCAGCCACGATTGCTCTGCTAACTCGTTCTTCACGATTTCCTCTATCGGACTGAGGAGATTTTTCGTATGCCTGGCCGCAGGGCTCAGCCATCTTGAATGTCATCTTAACTCGCTAAAACGAACGCTATTACTGCGAAACGAGCTAAACTTCCATTTATGAGTACTACTGGTGTGCAATGCAACATGATAGCCTGTTTGGAAGACTTTGGAATAAAATTATAAGATAATTGTGCTTACGTAATGGGAAGTAGGAAGCTCTAAAAAGATCAATCGAAATCTATTTTGTCCGTATCGTGTGAATTCTTCTCTTTAAGGCATCCCTTAAAACTTGTGATCTTATCATTTGAATGCTTGCTAGGCAGCCAGTTACGAAACAGCATTTGGCGATAAAAACGTGGAGTATCACTTTTGATAATTCAAGTAAACTAGCACTTTAGGAAATTTTTTTTCGCCTTCCCGAGTGTGACTAACGTTTTGTGGTCAGTAATCAGGTCATTAACATGACAAAGACGTAGCTTAGACGTAGAGAACATGGAAAGGTGCGTAAGTTCAAGTTACAGATTGCTTTTTGGATCTATAAATAAAATTACAAGTATTTATGATAAAAACAATTTATAGCGAGGCAGCAATATGACTATAGAGAAACCATAATCCTTTTAGATAACGGGACTCCTCTGAAATACATGTGTTTTACCAATTAAAGGTTGTAATAATGACAAGATTGAGAGACTTAGCCTGAGAAATAATTATAGGATAAGATGGCGTTTTGAATTTCGAATATATTTAAAAGAAAATTAGGCCAAAGAGAAATCAAAATCGAGAGGAAAAAAATTTCATAGGTTTGCTCGTTGCAGGCGTTCGCTGATTTATTTTTGCAAAATTTACGCAACAAATCCACTTTACTCAGATTTCAAGAATCCTTTTTCTGAGACAAGGTCTACCTGGGATTCATTTTTACCGAGCAACTTTACCTTATCATATCGATCCGTTAAACTGCTCGCCGAAAGGAACAATTTACAAAAGCATATGAACATTTGCAGGATCTCCGTAAGATTTAAGACTGAAAAATTTAATTGGTCACGTACCTCTTTCCCTTAAACCACGTTTTTTCTTTTTTTTAATTTTTCCCTGAGTATTGCGTAAAAGATGACCCTGACCTTTAATGAGTACGACTATTATAAGTGCTTACGTCACATCGGATTCCGTAAGTTTCTGCCCTGTGTTGGAGCGTGAAAATCGACAAAGATGATGAATGCATGTTAGTTAAGAATGTTTTATTACCATCATTGTGATGATGATGATGATGATTATTATTATTATTATTAACATCATCATTGTCATTACTATTTTTCTCTCATATTTATGTCCAAGATGGTTCGCTTAACTCTACATTATGAGAGTTAAAGAATTAATTTCAACGATCTTTTCACGGATTAGTAGTTTTCCGTCTTCGACCCAAACCCAGCATCCGGTAAAAACTGTTGTGTGATAAACAGGAAGATCTAGACAGACTTCAGGTGGCAGAGCTCCATGAAAACGTCTTCCGATTGGCAAAAACAAACGCTTCACAGTGACTGGAGCGGAAAAAGAGCACCAACTAAAGCACCAGTCGACAAATCTTTCGCTACTTATTTTGAAGCCATCTTACCATGGTAGGTAGCACAATTAATCGAGTGTCGAAAGTAATTACAATCTTTTTTAATCCCCTTTATCAGAGTGTAAACTAGAAGAGAGAGAATCAAAGGATTTGGTGAAGTTTGCAGTGATACTTCCACTTGACGGTGTTGTATTAAACAGATCCAATACATTAAGAGATTGTGTTATGTTATCCGCTAAAATCACAATGATTAGTTTGGTTCGGTTTTTTTTTCTTTTTCCGTGCGATTTTACAAAGTTATGTAGAACACTTTCTTGTCATCTTCATTTCCATGGCATGGGCAACGGTGTTTCTGGGGGAAAAATACAGCTCGTGGAATGAGACATGTTATCCCAGGAGATTGGGTTACATAACCTTTTCACATTATATAATACGGTATAAATTAAAACATGGAAAATATATTTTATAATATGACGTAAATAGTGTGCCTACTGGGGAAGTGAAAGGACAAGAGAAGGGATTTATTTAGACGATATTAAGTTGATGACTAACAGTCTATCATATCAGAGCTTGATTGCTACAAAGGACTTAGCCCCGCTGATTATCCTGACTATTCTGGCTTTGGCAAAATTCATGAAAGTGTCATGCATGCCTATCTATATTTTTCATCAGAAACACGAGAATGTCAGAAGACATAGAATGATTCGTGTTGAGAAAGATGTAAAACTGCCACAATGTTATGTAATGCTGGATTGCATCGTCTGATTAAAAATTTCATTTATTTTTTTCCGTTTGTGGGTCGCAGTGACTGGGAAAACAAGGTGTAGAGCTCACCACGTAAAGTGATCAAAAGGCATCAAGCAAATTTTAATCTGAATTCTCTAATACATAACCGTAATAATTCGATTCAGCGCCCGAGGTGCTTATTTACTTGTAATACCGTTGGGGAGAGCGCTTAATCAAAACCAGGGCGCTTATTCTATTTTGATGTTGCTGATGTTTATTCAAAAAGTGATGATTACAGAAACTATGAAAGTAACAAATATACTGAGAGGGAAGGTACTGTGGCGGTGTCATCCCTGAAACAGAATAGGGGTGCTTACTGGGCCGCGCTTATCAGCAAAAACAAATTCGACAAAGGGAGCACTTTTTGGAACGAGGGTGCTACATCAAATCATTCATGGTACACCAAATTCACTTCACTCTGGGTAACTCTGAATGATTGACTTTAACTCTGATCGATCTATGTCTTTTTGATTATCACTTTTCTCTAAAGCACACGCACGCCTTTACATTTAAACAGTCGGTAGGCATGATTGGGCACGCTGGCACGCTGGCACGCTGACCTTGGAAGATTAAATATTTGTTGTCAGAACGCTAACCCAAACACTTTCACAAGAAACTCACATATTTTACTTAATTCATTGTTTTTTTTTTTCTAAGTATGTCACCTGAAAGACAACGCACTTATGCCTCCGATCAGTTGAGTCAATATCATTGACCGCGTAAGCCAAAGCAAGAACTCTAGCGTGGGTCCAAGGAAATGTCGGTCAGACAAGCTAAGCACGTCCTCTGATGAAAGTCAGACAAAACAATTACATTGACGAAACTCACTGCAGTAGCTTTAGTTTATAAAAATTTGGACTTCAGAAATACTGAGTTTAGCTCCGACCATCCCCTACCCCTTGAGTGAGTAGTCCAGTGGTCAGTGCGCTGGACTCTGGGTCAGATGGCCCGGGTTCAAGTCCTGGCTGGGGTTTGACGTTGTGTCCTTAAGCAAGACGCTTCACTCACATTGCTTCGTCTTCTCGGAAAGGACGTAAAGCCAGATGTCCCGTCTCCTGCACCTATTAATTCGTTAATTTCGGCAGGGGACGTGAAAGAACCCACATCACGAGATTACTGAGATGTGGTCTGGCCTGTTTACTGGGAATGGGGGGTGGGGGCATCTGTAAAATTTCTCCTTTATTAACTATAAACTGCCGCTGGCAATCTGGAAAAGTCCCCCGCACAGTATTGTAAAGCGCATTAGAGCATTTACATGGAAATGCGCTATAGAAATCGATATATTATTATTACCCCTCCCCACCCGGTCCCCTTCCCCCCTTCCTTCCTCCCGCTGAGTCGCCGAGGGTCCGTTCGTCCGTTTTGCGTCACGTGAACATCCATTGATTGTTTGACTGACGCGTCAATGCACTAACTTTCTTCGATCTTCACTTGGCAGCGACCAATAAGACGGTACGCCACTTAAGTGAACTGAACAACAGAGAGTATTTTTACACACGAATACGAGAGTAGCAATTTTAATTTTAAGTGGAGTGTTGAAAGGTCTTGAAAGTGCTCGAGTATCAAATTTGCCTCACTTTGCTCCGCTGAGTGATAAAGTCTGCGCTCGTCCCAGTCACTAAAATGCTACAACACGGTTTAAAACTGTTTCCTTCATAAAAGTTGCTAGAAATGATGTTTGTCGTCTCCAAATTTAGCGCAATGAAAATTCAAGTAACAGTTGCTAAAAACCAGAGGTGAAAATACAATTTTCTGTTGTCGATTTTCAACCAGGTTTAGTTTTAACTGCACGTGTCTTGCCGGTGTGCATGGGACATAAGACGGACACTAGCTTGCGAGGGCGAGGGAAAAGTCTATCAGAGTTCGAGACGAGATACGTTAGATTACCATATTCTTGGGCCCAGCTTCGCGCCAATGAGTTACCGTTCTCCCTTAATTTGTAGCGATGCAGGGGGATCGTGATTAGTGCAGAGGACTCGCACCATTCTATCAACCCATAAGATACAAAACTAAAGGCATCTATCTACCTTTTACAGAGAGTTCCTTGGAGCTCGTAATTGGTTCCCTATGTAGAAGATTGATCTTACCCCTTTTTTATTTTTTATAAGCGATAACACTATACTGATTTAATCCCCAGTAGGGCCCATCGATCATTAATAGGAAGTATGACCTGAAACGTCACGCGACCCTTGATGCTAGTTTTATTTTGTTTTAAAACTTTGGAATTGCGATTTATTCGAGTACTTCCAATAGGGCCGAGTTACTTAACAGCTCACCTATTCCCGAATCTATTCAGTCCACTGGAGTCCCGATATCATCAATGGGAAAATTACTGCGCTGATTCTACGCGGAATTCTTGCCACAAATTTCAAAAGTTTTAGTAATTCTAATTTTTTGGTTGAAAAACGTTATTTCTGATACCGTGATAGCCTGGGGGCTATTTATCTTGCTGAGCAGTGTTGCGTTAACTCATATAGAAAAGTATACTCATTCAAGAAATTAGAAAATCAGTTTTGTCTCAGTAAAAGTCGATTGGTCGGTGAAAATACGTTAGTCGTGAGTCTGTTTTCAACCGTCTTTCTCCAAAAGTCTGAATGCTGGTGATGCATGATAATAGTTTAATAATTAATAATTTATTGACTTATATTGCGCAATTATCAATACAAGAAATTTCAATTGCGCATTACAATTAGATATCAATGATGCAACAAGAAACGGGCAAGACATACGACACTGTGACCCCACGAACACACCACTAGGCATACGATGCTGCACAGACAACCATCAAGCACGTAGATATTGCACCTTTTCTTGAACTTTCCTCGATTTGGTACGAAATTTGGAGCTAAAATCGACAAGATGTCAAGATGTTGAGTTTATGTGACGAACACAACCAAGGTCGACATTTTAGGCGCATATCGGTGGAATGATACACTACAAAAAAAAAAAAAAAAAAAATGCACAGTGTGTCTTATTTTACGATTGAAGAACTTGCTGGTGATTTTATCATTATGACTATTATTATTATAACTATTACTTTTTTTTTTAACAAGACTGACAATCAAAACGAGAAAAACGTAAATGTACATGCATTCATTAATCTAGGAGTGTGAACAATAATATCTTTAGTCCAGCGCCAGTAAAAATACTAAACCTATGTAGATGTGCAAGACATTTATCCTTGATTGCCTGAAGTTAGTTACTTCTAGCACTAATAACGAATCGTTTTTTGGACGTCGAAACAACCTTTCGCCACATGTTTCCTTTTAGCAATTTGCAATGTTTGCCCCGTGGTGACCCCCAGAAGTCTTTGAGCAAACACAAGAATCTGATTTCTGGCAACTCATTCATTGTGCTAATTTCATGGATATTTATCAATTTTTTGAATAGATACAACCTCGCTCTTAGTGCTTTTGCCCTTAGTTGGGGGCGGGGCGTTTTCCCGCCTATATTTGCGAGTAACTCTTTAAAGCTAAGTTTCAAGCTATTTTTGTTCACTAGTTATTTGGGACCTTGTGTTGTGTTGGAGCCTCTCCTTCCCCTCTCCTCCCTTCTCTTCCCTTTCCCTTCCCCCTCCCCTTGAGAGAGTGCCTGATCCTCAGGCTACTTGAATGCAAAAAATCAAGCCCCTCGGCGATATCAATCGCTGCCTTGGGAAAAAGCGGTAAAAAATGTTGAAAGGCTTCACCTGCTTGTATTCTATCGAGGCAATGCAATAATTCGAGGAGATCTAAACCTGAACATCAAGGCCGAATGGAGGGAAATCAAAACACTCGTATTCCATCATTATAGCAACCGGTTTAGGACCGATTAAAATAATTTGTACGATCGAATAAAAGCTCCATTAATATTGTAGGTGTTATTGCTGTAAATATTTGTATAAAAATATTTACGGCAATATATTAAATAAAAAATATATTAAATAAAAATATATTAGATAAAAACTGAATGTCATCAATAGTTGCGTGTTTTTGCCGGTCGGTTACCGCCGCCAGGAGCCCATTAACCAGTAGGGTTTACAATTACAACCACCTTCCACCCCTCCCTGGGTAATAACACTCTGCCTCCCGCCCCTCCCTCTCTACTTATAGAATGCACCCACCCCTTCCTGAGTACTAATCGTATACTTTCCCCCTTATAAAATGGTCCAAAAAATGGTCCAAAAATGGTCCAAAAAATGTTCCAAAATGGTCTAAAAAATATTCTAGTCCAGTCCTTATTTTACACTATGCCATGCTGGTATATTTTCATTGACGATCCGGGCAGGGTTATTCAAAGCGCGATTAAGGAGGGGGGCATTGGGATTTTCGATTTTGCGGTTTTGGCTACTTTTCAGATCGGTTTTTCGGTTTTCCTTAAAACAAAAAACCTCGTTGTTTCAGTTGGTGTTCATTGTAGTTTGCGGATTTTCCGTTGTTTTAGCATTTGGTTTTCGGTTTTGTTAAAAATATTAATGGTTTTCGGGTTTGGTATCCGAGGTGGTTTTCGGATTTTCCTATTTGCGTTCCGGTCAGCTGATCTCTAACAGACGCGAAACCTCTTTATGCTCCTCCTGTTCGTGTTTTTAATAACTTGGATTTTTCGGTTTTGAATGCGGCTTTCGGTTATGATCGAATTTTTTTGTGGTTTTAGATGATTTACTCTACGGTGTAGCCGTTTCTAATGGACCCCAATGCCCCCAGAAATAAACTGGAGATATTGTTGCATGTTGTACGTGCTTCCTCCCGCGCGGCAATTCCTCTTGAAAGGGCCTAGCTTCTCTCTCTTTTTTTCCGATTTAGTCTCGATATAACAGATTCACAGGGGAAACTTCAGAGAAAACGCACTATTTTCCACTTTTCTCCAAAGAAGGGGATGGAAAAAAAGAGGATAGTACTAAGGGATTCTTCACACCCTCGTGGGTAGAAAACGATGGACTGCTCAAAAGAAACGATGACATCATAACACAAATTGAGTGATGAGGGATCGAAAGCCGTTTTTGTGATGTCACGCAACGCTCATCGAAAGAGAGTTCGTCAAAAAAAAGAAAGTCAAAATTGTACTTGATTTTTACTAATTCGAGTACGGTTCACGTTCCTTTCCTGTTGTTGTTTTTTTTGCCTTTAAAAATTGGCTGTTTATTGACGCTACATAAGACTAGGCTATCGCCAGGGGTTGTGACTCAGCAGACAATAAAACTGGATCCATACGTCATGTATCTACACACAGAGTGACCTATTACATAACAGAGTTAGGTAACCGGTCGTCTGTACAGCTCATATTTCTGAACGGCCATGAAAGATAGTTATTACGACATTGCGACCTTCAGCTGGTGGATATCAAGTTTCTGCACGCAGAGAGTTCTCAGTTAACCAATGCTAAGCAGCTGAAAGAAAGCGAATCATTGGAAATGTCTAACCTTCGCGTCAAAATCACAAGTCAGAGTTCTTGTCCGTACGATGGAGAAACAGAGACAAACACAGTTGGAAGATCAATTCTTGCCACTTTCATCGCAGCCCTTGGTCCTCTCAGCTACGGGTTTTGTATGGGGTATTCCTCACCTGCTCTGGAGGATTTACAAAACGCCGATAAACCTTCCGATGTCCAATTATCCAGCGAACAGGGATCTTGGTTTTCAGTAAGTTGTAAATTATTTTTCTTTTCTTTTCTTTTCTTCAAGAGAAATGCACATATTGAAAAAAAAAAAATGGATATAATAACAATTATAAGCGATAATGGTGAACGACGCATATGGAAGAAAACAGCAGATTTGTCATATGCACCGTCAACTGTTAAATGTGGAAACCACAGCTTTGCAGTTGATTGCCTTTTGTGACGAACACGCGAGAATCACCTGTCAGTCACGTTACGAGAACGTCTCTTGAGATCTCCTTTTTAGACTTTTCTGAAGCTCAGTGCGACACAAGTAGAAGGCTAGGGGCATTTTTTTCGCCCTATTTTGAAGCCTCATGGCCCGATTTCTAAATTCACCGGCCTACTTTATAACTACTTATAGTGAGCTGTCTTTACTCAGTATCGCTCGACGTTCATGTAATATTACATAAGAGCTTTTACTTCTCAGCCTTTTCCAAAGCTCTGTGTAATACAAGTGGAAAGCTAATGGCATTTTGGTTCACCCGATTTTCGAGTTGGTTGACCTAATTGCTACATTCACCAACCTTGTCCATAGAGATCGCATTTACAATTGCGCGAAGCTATTATTACATAAGAGTTTAGCTGGTTGTGTACGTATGAAAATGGCACTAGAATCCAAAACTGTTATTGAAGAAATAATATATCTGGATATATTCCAATACTTGAAAAACTGAAACGTACTGAAGTTACACACAATGGTCCTGAAAAAATTTACCTACAGCTATTGACTTGTAAAACAATAACTTAAAATAATTACATAAGATTATTTTTCAGAATATTTTGACAAGATTCTCGTTTGTATTGTTCTCTCGTTTGCGTATCTCAAGAGAACCGTACGTTTATTAACTTTTTTAAAATCTCGGGTCATATTCCTACGTGAGTTGTTTGTGTCGGTCATATTCTTACGTGAGTTGTTTGTGCAGGCATATACTTCTTTGATTATTTTTGGTTACAAAACGGAGAAGTCCCTTGGAAAAATCTTTGAGCCATCCTTAACTCATATAAATCACTCAGCAAGAACCACTTTGCACGAGCAAACACCTTATCTTCGCGGCACGTGCGTGGATCCGCTGAAGCTCGTTTGAGATGGCTTTTCCCCAAGTTGACGCACAACTCACTTATTTATTTTTCTCATTTTACCTTGAACCTAACATAACCGTCGAACTTTCGAAGGTCGCCTAGCTAAAGAATCGCTTCTTTACAGAGTTTTCATGAATTAAAGTATTTATTTCACTCACAGATTTCACGTGACTTGGCAATAGCTATTTTCAACTCTTTAACGTTGTGTCATTACATCACTCATCGTTTTTATCTCGAAGTAGACTCGCACGAGACAAGCACGCGAGAATCAACTCTCAGTTGCCTGGCCATGGCACCGGGCTTTAACGGAGGGATAGGGCAGATTGCCAGAAAACGCAGAGGGATAAAACCAACTAAAAATAGAGATGAGAGTTTTTCTGCTGTTGGCTGTCAATATATTGCTAATCCAAATTCATCACTAAGCTATGTCGATGCAAGCGAAAGAGAGTGCGAACGGATTTTTCTCGGTCCTCGCCACTGTTAAGCCTTCGATCCTGACGAACCATTTGGAGCGAAGCACCGAGGCTGGCTCTCCATTGTAATATACTATCTACAGCTAGCTTTTCAGTTAGGATAAAGTCAGTTGATCCTGCACTAATGAGAACTACAGAGAAGGGATTAGATAATGTGAAGTCAATGAGATTTTCTTTCAAAGTTTTTCCTTAAAACGCAAGTTTTCGACCTTTCTACAACCCTGGTTCAATCCTCCCAGCTCTGACTGGAGTTTAAGCTTTCTTTTTTTTTTTGCTTGTAGTCATCAATTGCGTTTGGTGCCATTGTTGGATGTTCTGTCGGTGGTCCGGCGATGGAAAGGTTTGGTCGGAAGTTTGTCACCATGTTGTGCGCAATACCATTCGTTCTGGGATGGCTTCTCATTAGCTACGCTAAGGATGTTGAAATGCTTTACGCTGGACGGATCCTAACAGGCTTAGGATGTGGAGTAATTTCCTGCACTAGTCCAGTAAGTCTTTTTTTTTTTATCATTTACAACATGTGTTTCTTGAGGGATTCCGGCTAATTTTGCCAGCATTTCCTACAGACCTTACCGTCGTCTCGGTCAACAAAACTGTAGAAGTAACTAATCCAAAATCCATGCTATTTCCAATGGCCATTCTTACCTCACTCATCCGATTTATCTTTCCTAGGTGTACATTGCCGAGATTGCAGCTGCACGCGTGCGTGGTGCATTAGGCTCCGTTAGAGGACCGGCTTTAACATTTGGCGCTTTATTAGCCTACGCAATGGGTATCTTGTTTCACTGGAGATGGCTGGCTTTTATAGGTGCAGTTCCCCCGGCACTGCTTCTCATTTTGATGATCCCCTTACCAGATTCCCCCCGCTGGCTCTTGGGAAAGAATTTCGACAATGAAGCTATGGATGCCTTGTTATGGCTCCGAGGTCCTCATGCTGATGTTCCAGGAGAGTGCAGTACAGTGAAGGCCAATCTAGGTGAGGTTCATGGTGCATCAGTTTCTTCTCAGTAAATAAAAATCCCTTCAGGCGGCTGCTTTGTCGGCTGGTAATGTCTGCGGCTGAGAAATTTTTTTTTTAGGCCTTCTATTTTTCACTACTACTAAAGTAGTGTTCACTGACTGCGAATATCGCTTTCATATTAATTTCTGAAACTGCAGATCACATTTATTATTTTCATGTATTCACAGTCATTGGTTGAGATAGTGTTCGAAAAATGAATATTTGGACGAGGAGCGAAGTCTCGAGGGAAACTCCTATGATGGGAAATTTTGAGGACGATCTGTCAGCCACGGACATCATCAGCTGACATACCAGAGTCAGAAGGGGGTTTAATTATTTTCTAACCCTCCCGTCGATTTTCTTATTGCGCGTCTACAGGAAATTTTGTTCACTTTTTTTTGCGCTGTCCTTAACTGCATTTGAATTCATCTCTCCTATGTCAGTGTAACAGGACTTTACTAAACGTGTGTCCACAAAATGTATTCAATATCTTAATTGCAATTGAAAAGAAAATCGTTCACATACTCTTTCCTCGTTTCTTTGAAATCTTTATGCCTGTTTTGGACCTCCCAGTCATTCTCATGTTCCCAATGAAGAGTACCACCAAACCTAGGAAGGGCCTGCTTGCTCCCAGAGACAAGGCACCAACATGGTCCCATAGAAGGCTTCTTTTCAGGGTGATATAGTTACACTGAATGGTAATCACTATAATTTTTTTTTTAACAGATCGTCACGAGAAGTTTACGTTGGCAGATTTGAAGACGTCAGCGATGGTCAAGCCGTTTATTATCAGCGTCGGCTTACTGATGTTACAACAACTATCGGGATTCAATTCAGTGCTCTTTAATGCTGCAGATATTTTCAAAACAGCAGGATTCTCTGAAGAAAAGCTCGTCTCCTTTATAATTGTCTTCGCCCAGCTTATTGGTAAAATTGCGGCATGTTTTCTCGTCGACAGAATTGGCCGTCGAATTCTCCTCTTGACTGCTTCCTTTGGAATGACCATGTCTCTTTTGGCACTAGGGGTTTACTTTCAGATTTATATTCCCCCGAGTGATCCAAACACGTGTAATGGAACGGCTTCACCATTACACAGCTGCATAGTCTCTGCCTATGAAATCTCCTGGCTCTCAATCTTAAGTGTTGTTGTATTCGGTCTGACATTCTCCTTTGCGTGGGGGCCAATGCCGTGGCTTATCATTTCTGAAGTATTCCCGCTTCGCGCCCGTGGCCTTGCGTGCAGCTTTGCATCCATGGTATTTTGGATAACACTGTTTACAGTCACAAAGTCGTATCATTACCTGAGTGTGGCACTCACTATTCAAGGTGTTTATTGGTTGTATGCCAGCTTTTGCTTCCTTGGCTTCGTTTTTGTTTACATACTCTTGCCCGAAACTAAGGGTAAAACGTTAGAGGAGATTGAGGCTATTTTTGAGGGGGAAAAGAACCAGTAAGAACGGATTCCCTGAAAGATACTTCGGCAAGGAACTGGAGTAATCGATGAAATTTGACTTTTGCTGCTTAAAAATCCCTCGTTAGTCTGTGAAGGCGGATGGTGGCACTTTTAAAACTCCCTTCCACGCTTTTTTGTAACCGTTTGCGGCTCAATTAGTTGTGCATTGTTTCCCGCGAAAATAGCCCCAAGTAGTGTCAGCGCGACGAGTGTAACATTTATTTCACTCCATAGCCGCGATGAGCATTAACAATTTTAGTAATGATAAACCTATTTCGCTGTGGGATAGCCTCTCAATCAAGTGCAATTAAAAAATCAGTGGAAGAAAATTAGAAATATTTTACATGAGAACGCGACTGTTTCAGAATTTCTGGTATTTTTATGATCATTATTGAACTCTGTTATTTATCGTGAAATCTATTGGACATAAGATCAAAATTTCAGAATATTTCTTCAATTTTTGGATGTAATAAATCAAGTGGAGTCTTTAACATAGTGTCTGATTGCTGCATTGGTGGACATGTTGGTGTCTCGGATCTGGTCCAAGGGTTTGTCGAACGCACTCCCATTTGGATTGAGTTTCGTGCACCAAATTAGTCTAGAAAGTGAAAACAAGCAAAAACGCAAGTTCAAGTCGCGATTGGCTTTGATTTGAATCTGTGTAGCTTTTCAACAACTCATTGTTACGGACCACGAGTGAGTTTGGCCACTAGATACAAAAAAAACCATTACAGTTGCAGTAGAGAGTAGTTGATGAGGGAATCAGCGGCCACCCCATGGAGTCGAGGCGCGCGGTGCGTTTGTCAAAACATTTCGAACAACTGCTTTTTAAGAGTCCCAAGGGAGAAGCATAACTGTGACAACACCATCCCCACACCTGGGCTCGTGCCATATTCCAGTAAGAAGCAAATAGTTTTCAGAGTCTTTTCCTCTTATCCGTTGAGCGAGGCAAAAAATACGATGTAATATCAGGGTGGTCAGGAACATACGCGAAATAAAGTTGAAAATTTGCTTTCCCTACTATCTTGCAATGTTTACAACTTCTAGTGTCCTCTGCCCCGGGGGTCTACCCCACGGGTTGGCCTGCAGAGTTTAAGATTTCTTTACCGCTCATTCATCCAGTTTTTCCTAGCCTAGCATATGTTAAAATCACGAGTTTCTCAAATGGCGGAGTTACAAATCGAAAACTCCCACTCGAAATCTTTTCAATTCGATGAACGCAAAGATAAAAACAGAGTCGGAAGAGTGGTCCTTGCCACTTTCCCTGCTGCTCTCGCCTCCTTCAGCTTTGGTTATTGTTTGGGATATTCATCCTCTGCTTTGGAGGATTTACAAAACGATGATACATCCTTCACCATCAGCCTGGACGTTGAACAAGGATCCTGGTTCTCAGTAAGTTTAAATTCAGTTTTATTTCAATTCACTGGAGAAACTTCTAATTTCATAGGTGTCGAGCCGTTGAATAGGCCAAATATATCCCTCTTTAAACGAAACAAAAATATTTTCAAAAACTGACAATTCACTTTCCTATTCGTGTACAGACTTATCACAAGGCAATAAATATCACTTGACAATCATCTGATATTCCATCTTGAAAGACCGTCGTAGAGTATGTCACGCACTGATAAGTTTATTACATCTAAGTGCATCGCACGGGCGTTAACTAAAAAAGCTCATGATGTAAGATTCATTCAGCATTCAGCTGGCAAAGTCAGGTGTGAAGAACTGAAACACAAGTCACGTCTCTGATTTTTATTTAAAGGCTGATAGTTTCTAAAGAAACTGTTTGGGGCGGCGTCGGTGGGGTAACGAAATAATTTTGATATATCAACAAAGTTGAAATGGTAAAGTGGCCACCTAACGATTAAAAAAGCTGACTTTTCGAGCGTTAGCCCTTCGTCGGAGCGAATAGGCGTTCCGACGAAGGGCTAACGCTCGAAACGTCAGCTTTTGTAATCTTTACGGAGGCCAATTTACCATTTCAACTTTGTTGATATATCCAAATGATTTTTTTTTAGATGCCCATGACATACATATATTTCGGTACAAAACTACCACGTGGTGGAATGGAGGCCACATGCTGATTAGGTCGGATTAGCGGTTGCTACGTTGTCACATATTCCGGTACCCTTGGGTGCCAGAGGGTTTTTTAATTATTGTTATTATTATTTTAGCAGCGAAAGTGCCAACGATTGCGGCCTTGTCGCTCACTATTAGCGGTTTGGTTGCTAAAAAAAAAGAAAAAATTCCTTCTGGCACGCATAGTAGTTTTCATGATAAAAGTACAGTCAACGGACACTTTCGTAATCTATACTTAGTGGCTTGTGGTTTGCGCGACTTCAACGGCTTGAAAACCTGAACGTTGAAACCGAAACCTGCAACCACATACGATAAATAACCGTGTTATATCTTGAGAGCTAGAGATAGAAATAACTTCCCAGCGTGGGGCGAGATTTAAAACAGACTTTAAAATTATCATTAGTCCTGAAGAAATGTTGTCATTTCGTAAACTTTGCTCCGTTTACTAGGGATAGAATTCTAACGAATTAGACTCAATCAAACTGTTTTATTCCACCCTCGTATTCGCTTCTTTACAACGGGTGCGTAAAAAGCTACTCTGCAAAATTTGTAAGAAATCACTCTCTTATACGATATTCTCGACGTTATGGTTAGTTGTTGCTAAGTACTGATTTAATAGGTCATTCAGGGTTGCGTTGGACATGTAAACCGATCAATGTCCTAAAATCACTACAGGCGGTGCTTCTAGCTGTTAACATAATGTTCACACTCTTCATCTGACATGCGTCACGCACGAATAACAAAGTCTCCGACATTCATCAACTTCTTCTCTTGCCATACCTTATAACATATAAACAGAGGAAACGTTTATAAAGAAACTGTGGTGCTGCGTTGATGGATCGTATTACAAGATACAGTTATTTGGTTTCATCAACTGTGTCAGTAAAATAAATTTCCCACCGTAAAGAGTTTTTGCGTTATACGTTTCGAGTGTTAGCCTTTCGTCAGAGTAAAACTTTTCATTACTAAAACGCTTATGTCAAGATTCTTGTTCCGAGCTACATTGTACGTCTTCCTTAATCTGTAATCTAGTTGCCTTTAGCCAAGGAACGCTATTGCATCCAAAGTCGAAACGAAAGAGGAAACAACTTGGGCAAGTTTGGGTTCAAACTAAAATGCGTCTCCAGAAAATTATTAAAAAAAAACATTGAAACTAAACATCCCCCCCCCAATAGTGTACACAACTCCACTTTGGATTACCCCATGAAAATGATCGAAATTTTTTAATGTAATTTACTAGGCTAATTTGGTAAAAGGGATCCAGAGATTGTTGATAAAAGTTCTCGATCCTCATTTATTGTTTTGTACAGTCCATGATATCTTTTGGTCTGGTCATTGGATGTGCGATTGGTGGATGGGCGCTTGAAACGTTTGGTCGAAAGGGCACTATGATGATGTGCTCCATACCTTTCGTCCTTGGATGGCTTCTAATCAGTTATACCCAGAGTGTGGCCATGCTTTACTCTGGCAGGTTTATCACAGGTGTAGCGTGTGGCGCTGTCTCCTTCACCACTCCGGTGAGTATTGAGAGGGTCTCAGTCGGGGCAGCCAAAAAATCTGGACGTTCGGCGTAGAAGCGATCACTCCATTGAGACCCTTTACTGAGAACTGTGGTTCGTGAAAAGAAGGTGAAGTCAGGCTTACACTCTAACCAAATTTTGTTACGCCGCCGAAATTTATCCTGTTTCCGTAGCATGAAGCAACCGGAAGTTTTCTCATTCCTCCTGAATGGGACGCTAGTCCATCCCAGGCTACCCAGCAATTCCTTTGCTCTGACGAAGGGCTAACGCTCGAAACGTCAGCTTTTTAACTCTTTATGGTGGCCAGTTTACGATTTCAACTTAGCTGATATTACCAAATTACCTTGTTACCCCCACCGACGCAGCACCACAGTTTCTTTAGAAACTTTCCCCCTTTTTTACTCAGCAATTCGTTAGACTTCCCTGACAGATGATAAGCGCCCATTTAATTTATACTTACACTTACATGGAGAGAAACAGTATGAAATATGGGAACTGAAGTCACTAGCATTAAAACAAGACGCTCTGTCCAGGCCAGTTTTCAAAAAAAAAAAACCCGTCCACCGGATTTCAGAGCATAAACCGTCGCGCTGCTGCCTTTGTATTGAAAAGAAACGGAGGAATAGAAAGAGTGTTGATGAATTTTTGCTTGGTGGGAGACAATGGCCGGAGTCGATTTCGAGAGGATTGGGTTCTAGACGTGGTGGGGTCGTTGTGTCGTGTCCTTGGACAAAACACTCTACGTTCGCATTGCCTCTTTCGACCCCGGCGTGCAAGTGGCTACCGACGAATTGTTAGGGAGCCTGGTAAAAAGCTGAGGGGTAACTTTGTGAGGGATCTGCATTTCATTCAGAGACGGGGGGAGGGAGTGGTACGTCGCTTCACCGGAATAAGCTTCTGCTGCATGATTTACTTGGCTCGAGTGGAGATTTTACCTTACCTACCCTTTGCTTAAGTGATTCTGCCAATCTTGAAGATCGTCAAACATTTAAGAGAAACATCGTTTTCGTATTTGAATTTAAAATTACAGAACTCGTCTTAGGTTCGTCTCTCCCCTTTGTTCAAGTCAATTTGTTACCCCTCAGTTTTGGATAGTTAAAAAGTTTCGCAGATTTTATTTCGTCAGAATGTTTACCGTGGAGTTTGGACTGTAGCATGGATAGATAGATAGATAGATAGATAGATAGTTTATTTGTAAAAAGCTTGCAGCCACTGAGCTGAATTGTGTGTTTACAATAAAGTATAAGATATAACTTATAATAGTAATATGATAGTATTAAAGTCCTAACTAAATAATATTATCCTATAAATATGATGAAAGCTTGAAATGTTAAAATATATACAACAGCATCGATCTCATTTACAAAACTCATGATCACCAAGCAGTAAAATTCGTTGTTAATACATGATCTTACTAAAAAACAATTTTTGAAACGCTCGGTCCTACATTTGGGAATCGCAAAATGCCTTTTGCACCGGAGATTATACCACGTATTTTTGACAAACCAGTTATTTCTCTCTTGTTTTTAATTTTTTTTATGTGTCACTGGCGTTGTGGGATAAACAGTAGCTCATTCTCAAGTTACCCTTGTGAACTGAGTTCTACATGTTCCCCCTTAGGTGTACGTTGCCGAGATTGCAGCCGCCCAAGTGCGTGGGGTGTTAGCCAACCTCAGAGGCCTGAGTTTCACCTTAGGCATATTGACATCCCTAGCACTTGGCGTCCTGTGTCGTTGGAGATGGCTGGCTTGTATTGGTGCAATTCCACCAACTTTCGTCCTTATTCTGATGATTCCCATGCCCCAGTCCCCTCACTGGTTATTGGGAAAAAACCGAACCGTTGATGCGTTGGAAGCTTTATTGTGGCTACGAGGTCCTGAAGGAGATGTAGACGAGGAATGTTCCACCATTAAAGACACCTTAGGTAAAAATGTAAATGTATCACTCCTCAAGAGGAGCATATTTCCTAGACAAAGAGAAGAGGACGAGTGAAGTTGGGGGGCACATTTTCTCGGTGAGACTAAGGACAAAATTTTCTGAAGGTGCAGCCTGCCAAGGAACCAAATTGACCTCCAATGGAACTCGTGGAACTTTTAGAGACCGGCTGTTTCACCTGCCCCGTTTCCACTATCCAATCTAATAAAATGAGTTAACACCTACAAAATGAGATTGAATCTGCTTTGAGAGCCCGATAATTGTGCGTCAATTGTGATGAAGAAAAGTCTGTCTAGTTTCTTTTATTCAGTTTAATTTTTTTTATGTTTACTCTTTTACTTTTTTCTGTCTATTTTGTATTTATTAGTACAGGTCACCATATGATTTCGAGTGCAGCTGAATAAAAAAGCACAAGTAAATTTTTGAAAGACTTATCTAACTGCACAAAAAACAATCAAAATTAACTTGTTGAGCGTTCGGTCAATACAACCATGTTAAATCAAAAGAACAATTTCGTGAAGTTTTTTAAAGTTTTCTTTTTAGTTGCTAAAGGTTCATGTCTTTTTTCTTCTTCTTTTTTCAGATCGTCAAGGGAGTCTACAGTTTGCAGATATCAGAACGGCCACAATAGCTAAGCCCCTGATCATTAGCGTCGGGATTTTTATGTTTACAGAGTTCTCTGGAAGTGATGCAGTGCTCTTTAATGCAGCAAATGTCTTCAAAGTTGCGGGCATTACAAACGAGAAGCTTGTTGCAATATCTGTGGGCATTTCTCAGCTTCTCGGTAACATTTTTTCGTGTCTCCTCGTGGACAAAATAGGACGACGAAAGCTACTGTTGACATCTGCACTCGCAATGTGTCTGTCCCTAATAGCACTTGGTGTGTTCTTTGAGATTTACATCCCTCCAATTGAAAGTGGCCCTGCAAGAGACGCAGACGCTTTTCCTGGTTCCACCAGACTCTCTGTTTTAGCCAAAGAGATTTCCTGGTTTCCAACCTCTTCTATATTTCTCTTCAATTTAATGTTCGCCTTTGCTTGGGGACCTCTCCCGTGGGTTTTGATTTCAGAAATAAATCCCCTCCGCGCACGTGGCTTTGCCTGCAGTTTTGCGACCATAGTGTACGGAGTTACACAGTTTGTTGTTACTAAAACTTATCACTCCATGGCCACTGCGTTTACCATCCAGGGCGTTTATTGGGTTTACGCTAGTTTTTGTTTGCTAGGTTTTATGTTTGTTTATCTCCTTCTACCCGAGACAAAGGGTAAAACCTTAGAGGAGATTGAAGATCTTTTCGACAGATCGGTTAGACAAGCATACGAAAGAATTGAATAATTAACAACAATCAATGTCATTGGCTACTGGTGGATATTTATCAAGTCAGGAAAAAGATGAACGGTGAAGACTGCTTACGAGCCAAGTGGCCCATCGGGCCGGCGTTTGAATCCGGTTTTCGTAGCATATAGCGACTAAGAGTATTTATTCTCTCCCCTGAATGTAATACTAGTTCCTCGCAAGGTTACCCCCCTAGCATTGAATTCGCCGGTACCCATTTAAACACCTGGGTGAAGAGAGGCACTATGAGAGTAAAGTATCTTGCCTAAGAACACAACCCAGTATCCCAGGCTAAGGCTCGAACCCAGACCACTCGATCCAGAGTCGAGCGCACTAACCATGAGGCCACCGCGGCTCCAAACTGGTCACGAAGCAGCGAGGTAAATAACCACCACTAGTACCCGACACCGTGCTGAATATATAAAAAAAAAAATACAGTGAGATAATGTAGCATGAAAATACCTGCAACGATTACAGTAAAATGCAGTTTGATTTTGTTATAATTCACCTCAGTTTTCCTAGGAAATCTGATCGCACCTCGGAACAAATAATGTTCGCGGACCTATATCCGTGCATAATTTGGAGTAAATGGAGGCTATTGTTTATAAACTCTCAAGTACTTGACGAGAGCAAGAAGCTAAATCAACTCATGTTTTGAAATAAACTTACCGTCACTATGAGCGAAATAATGAAAACTGCTCTGATTCCAATTTATGATTTATGTTTCAACTCTTACGAAATAACTTTTCAAAACTCACAAGTGAAGTTTCTGATGAAAGAATAACTTCCAGAATACTAAAACTATGCTCCAGGCCTAGTTATAGAGTTCGCTTTTGCCTCGTCAATATTGAAATTGTAGCAAGCAGGACGAGAGTAACCGGGACTAGCCCAGGTGACTATTATGGGATTAAAAAAAGAAAAGGATCCCAAGAAGGAAAACAAGACGGTGAAAAACGACAGTCGAGGAGAACGTTACTCTTTGTTGTGTTAGTTATTTCGCGTGATTAAAGTTAGTAATGAGGCAGAAAGAATGCAGAAACTTAGTTTTCGCCATGACCAGCTTACAAGCCGAAACCCTACCCAACTGGTGGCCCAAGTGATTACTCCTATTGAAAATCGTACGCCCGTTGAAGGCAAAACCACAGAGAAGCCACCAAAAGTCAACCTACTTTCTGAAGTTAAGGAGTTGAAAGCAGAACTGGCTGCTATCCGGGAGGGTATAGAAAAACGAGGTAGTACAAGCATCAACCTACAGTACAAGCCTGTGGGACAAGGAAGGGTTTTACCCAGGGGATGCTGGAGCTGTGAAAGACAAGGCAGAGGTACCTGTTGCAACAACTGTTTCAATTGTGGTGGTGTTGGCCACTTAAGATACCAGTGTCTGAAGCCGAGTCGGGGAAACTTCAACCTAGCAAACTTCCCGGAAAACGAGTCAGGGTTGCCCCCACGGGGCAGTGAGCAACCCCTCAGACCCACAAGCAATCCCAACAATGTGTAAACTGTGGAAAGGGGGAGGACTGGGCAGGAGGATACCTGCGCTGCTCGCGATGCCATACCAGCTATTACTGCTCAAAATTCTGTCAGAGGGAACATTGGGATGATAAATAAGACACTCTTCCAGGCCATTAGTGATGTTGTACGGAGGGAAAGGGAGCCCATGGCAGTTGCTAAAGCACTGAAAACGTCATTCCCATCACACCTAACCCCAAGACAACGCTCAAAACTCACTAAATTTGTCGGACGAAAAAGCATAGTCTCTTGTTTGGTCCAAGGGAAGAAAGTTAGTGCCCTCTGGGATACCGGAGACCAGGTTTGTGTTCCGTCAAAGTGCTGGAAAGAAGTCAACTTGCCGAATAAGCCAGTCAGGGACAGAATTGAGCTACTGGGGGAAGATGATTTAAGTCTACAAGCTGCGAACGGCACAAAAATCGAGTGTGACGGCTGGATTGAGGTGGAGCTCCAGGTGGCTGGGGCTCCAGATGGCTGGGGCTCCAGATGGCTGGGGAGAATGGGCCCTCAGAACCATTAACAATACCTATACTAATAGGAAGTCAAGATAACCAGGAGCATCTCATTATTGGTTTCAATGTCATTGAAGAGGTTATAAAGAGGAGTAGTGACCCCAATGCCCACGAAGTACTATCCCAAATGGTAAAGAATTCACTCCCATTTCTGAAAGAAGGGGAAGCAAGAATGCTGGTTGACCTCATCCAATCCCATGACCGTGAGCCTGATACTTCAGTACTCAGAGTTGGCAAACAAGACACACGTATTGCAGTAGGGGGAACTGCAGAAGTCAAGTGCCAAGTACATTTTGGGCCACTGGAGGAAGACCTACCCGTTGTGTTTGAACCCAAAGAGGAAGGGGCATGGTCTGTTGGGTTGGAGGTCAAGGGCTGTCTACACCACATTAAACCAGGTTCTTCGAGTCATATATATATCCCAGTATCCAACAACACTGAACAAGGGATTACTCTACGAAAG